TAGGCCTTGAACCTGGACCTTCTGGCCCAAAGTAGGAATACTATCACTGCATTGCAAAAATAGTTATTTATAGACATTAAGCATCATTATTAGATGTCTTTCTGTTTAACCTTTTGATGAGGGTAAAGTGTTTGTCCACTTTTTGGAGATGTTTGCCACCAGGCTGTTAATTAGTATGGACATCCTCTTCTTTAGGATGATTAGGAGGCAGCCAGAATTTGTCTTACTCTTTCTCGAATTCAGCATATGAGAGATCTCTTGTTGGGATACAACCCCTGCCAGTTCTGTCTTTGAACTGGTAAGGATAATTTTTAGCTTAATTGAGTAATTGTGTCCCTTGATCTTTGAGGATATTATTTTGAGATCAGCCTGTTCAAGATAGGTTGGTAGATAGTTTTGTGGCTTCCTTGAGAGTTACAAGTTCAATTTTAAATAACCAGATAATCCCTTCATCTAAAGTGTCAAGGTGTCTAAAACATTGTCAACTTTTTTATAATAAATTCGCCTCACAAATCTTAAGTGTGCATACATTAAGAAACAGAAGCAACAGAACAATTCTGTCACTTAGTTAGGTCCAGACGTAAAAATATGTTAAAAACAAAACTCTTTTCCCATTATTATTTTGGCATTCACAAGCGATTGATCCATAATAGTAGCTGTGAAGCATTAATTCATGCAAAGCATCAAATTCAGTCTCCTCAATGACAGTAAAACCAATAATTTACTGATTTGTTTATTAAATACACAGCAAGCAAGTAAATTCTTGTCTCTTGTCCAAATATCATTTTGTGAAGGAATATACGTGTCGAAGTGGTATCAAATTGAAAGGATTACATTTACACCCCTTTCCCATTTTTTAGTTGGTATCCAAATGTACACTTCAAGTAGGCGTTAGTGGGTATCATTCAGAAACCAAAACAACAGTCATACACTGATGTTTTTGTTTGGGAGTAGTGTTGAAAACTGGCAGTCTGGCTGGTCTGACTAACGTAGACCAAGGATTCAAGGACTGAATCTGGCATGTTACGAGTGTTATAGTGCTACGCAGAGAGAGCCAATCAGCGTTGAACTTTGGAAAGTCTTGAGTGTTTTGCAGTGGATGGACGTGTAAATGTGATAAACTTGTGCATTAATTAACAGTGCCTTTCTTTTATGTGCTATCAGTTATGACTTGTTCAAGTTACATTTGTTTCCTTTGAAATGGACGTTTGGTGAGTTTATTTTGGTTAAACCTAATTTAAAAGCAATGTGCTTGATTTTCTTCATGTTACCATTTTTTTCTGCACACTAAGCTTAGGCTGAAGGAGCCAAGAGGTAAGGATCATTACAAAATGGCTTTAGGTAGAAGGGGAATGGTGTCAGAAATAAATGGTTAACTGTGATGCCACCATTGCAAAGAATGCCGAACAGTAAAAATACTTGAGGTAAAAATGTTGTTTTTAAGACCAGAGCTGAATTTAGCAACATCAAGACTTTCCCCCTACTTTCTGACATTTTAGGGGCAGCTTGCCTCGATTCCCTCCCTTGCTTCTCCTCAAAAGTTTTTATTTGCCTCTGTCATCAAGTCCCATCCATATACAAACAAAACCATCCTTCATTCTTTCTTCCATTAGTTTCTGTAATAATTAACTCCTCATCAGTATCTACAGTTCTCATCATCCATGATTACTGTCTGCATACACGGCTCACCCCAATTCTCTGATTTTACTATCCTCCAGTCATCCCTAGACTTCTTCCTCTCTGGACTCTGGGGTGGTTCCCACAGATTGGAAAACAGCCAATGTGACACCATTGTGTAAAAAAGGAAGTAGACAAAAAGCAGGTCACTATGGGCCAATTAGATTAACTTCGGTAGTGGGGAAAATGCATGAATCTATCATTAAGGAAGAAACAGCAAGACATCTGGATACAAATTCTCCCATTGGGAACACCCAGCATGGGTTCATGAAGGGTAGGTCATGTTTAACTAATTTGGTGGAATTCTCTGAGGACATTACTTGCATGGTGGACAATGGGGAACCTGTGGATGTAGTGTATCTGGATTTCCAGAAGACATTTGACAAGGTGCCACACCAAAGGCTGCTACATAAGATAAAGTTGCACGGTATTTCAGGTAATATATTGGCATGGATAGAGGATTGGTTGACTCGTAGAAAGCAAAGAGTAGGGGTAAATGGGTGTTTTTCTGGTTGGCGGTCAGTGGCTAGTGGTGTGCCTCAGGGATCAGTGTTGGGACCGCAATTGTTTACAATTTACATAGATGATTTGGAGTTGGGGACTAAGTGTACTGTGTCAAAATTTGCAGATGACACTAAGATGAGTGGTAGAGCAAAGTGTGCAGAAGACACTGAAAGTCTACAGAGGGATCTAGATCATCTAAGTGAGTGGGCAAAGGTCTGGCAGATGGAGTACAATGTTGATACGTGTAAGGTCATCCATTTTGGTAGGAATAACAGCAAAATGGACTATGTTTTAAATGGTAAAAAATTGCAGCACGCTGCTGTGCAGAGGGACTTGGGTGTCCTTGTGCATGAATCACTAAAAGTAGGATTGCAGGTGCAGCAGGTAATTAAAAAGGCAAATGGAATTTTGTCTGCCATTGCTCGCGGGATGGAGTTTAAATACAGGGAGGCTATGCTGCAGCTGTATAGAGTCCTGGTGAGGCCACACCTGGAGTACTGTGTGCAGTTTTGGTCTCCTTCCTTGAGAAGGGATAAACTAGCACTGGAGGGGGTGCAGAGGAGATTCATTCGGTTGATTCCAGAGTTGAGAGGGTTGGATTATGAGGAGAGACTGAGTAGGCTGGGATTATACTCATTGGAATTCAGAAGAATGAAGGGAGATCTTATAGAAACATATAAGATTATGAAGGGAATAGATGAGTTGGAGGTAGGGAGGTTGTTTCCATTAGCAGGTGAAACTAGGACTAGGGGGCATCGCCTCAAAATAAAGGGAAGCAGATGTAGGACTGAGGTCAGGAGGAACTTCTTCACCCAAAGGGTTGTGAATCTGTGGAATTCCCTGTCCAGTGAAGCGGTTGAAGCTACCTCACTGAATGTGTTTAGGGCAAGGTTAGGTAAATTTTTGAATAGTAAAGGAATTAAGGGTTATGGTGTGTGGGCGGTTAAGTGGAGCTGAGTCTCAAAAAGATCAGCCATGATCTTATTGAATGGCAGGGCAGGCTTGAGGGTCCGGATGGCCTACCTCCAGCTCCTAGTTCTTATGTTCTTATTATGTTCTTATAAGCTCTTAGACATAAACGTTTACAATCCCGTCTTGATGTTGTGATCTCTTGACTGCAAAGGACTAAATAGCAAACACAACTAACACTAAACACTTTGTGTATCACTTGAACCCACAGTACCTGCACATCATCCCAGTTCTGAGCACAAAAATCAAAGCTGCAATGCTAATACAGTGTTGAAGGAGTGTTGCACTGTATGAAGTCCTGCTTTTTGAATGAGATGATAAACTGAAGCCCTGTCTGCCCTCTAATATTGATGGAAAAGATCCCCCTGTGCTATTTTAAAGAAATGCAGCGGATTTATTTTGTGTTCTAATTCCTGTTTATCTCTGTCAAATAAAGCAAAGTATTTGGCCATTATCACATTGTATGTGGGATTTTGCTGTGTACAAATTAACTGTCATATTTCCTATATGTGAGTACTTTTCAAAAAGTACGTAATTAGCTATAAAGTGCTTTGTGAAGCCTTTCATGACCACAGGGCAGAAGATAAAGGCACTTTTTTTCAATGGATGTGGAAAGGTAACTAGAAGTTACCATATTTGCCATCTTTCTGAAATAAGCAGATTGAGCTGTTCAGATCTTTGAATGGGTGATAAGAGGATGGAATCTAAGTTCAGGTTGTGGAAAGCTCTAGCCACTGAAATTTGGTGTCCACTTCGAGTAATCTCAATTCCTGAGCCATTTGGGAAGCTTTTTCTGTATCGCTTAAGTCTCTGACCGCTTCTACCATTCAACGAGAATCTTTTTGACAAAACAAAAGTTTATATGATAATTTGACCCAATATACAAATCATCACAATGTACAGAATATTAGAATGCTCCTCAGCATTAGAAAAATAGCAATATTTTCAGCTTGTTTCATATATTTACTGTTCAATCTTTAGAATGTACTGAAGTTACTTAGCATAATAGTCAGCATATGTTGAGAGAGTAGGGAAGTTAATATTTTAGATGCTGATCCTTTTTCAGGAGGTTTTATTCATCTGTTCTCTCCACAGATTCTGACTGGCCTGCTGAGTGTATTACGTTTTGTTTTCATTTCAGCATTTGCAGTACTTTGCATTTGCTAAAGTAATTTTCTCTTGTATCCCAACACTACTGAATTATGGCAAGTCGCTAGGCAACTAGCTTCTATTAATAGAGCCAGTTGCTGATAAAACATACAAATTGATTAATTTCCTGTAATCATTCCTGTCTCCATTTTATGTTTGTATATAGTTGTTTCTACGCAGCATCTTCCTTCATCTAATCCTGCTGAGTTCAAAAGGTGGATGGTCACAGTCTCCTTTTCCAGTGTTAAACGTTGGATTGCAGGAATTCTTACTTCGTGCAGATTTTTGGATGCATAAATGTACCAATCTTTTGGTAATTTAAATTGAACAATCCTATGGAAATTGAGGGCAATACCTCTTGGTGCCAGCACTTAAAAGCAGGTTCCTTAATGAGGGGACCAAAAAATTGAAATTAAGCCCTCTGGTTGATAATTAACCAGACAGAACTTCTTGGTTTTGGCAGTTTTATTTGAATAGCAAGTTTGCAAGTTCAGCTTGTGTACAAAGCATAATGATGTGCTATGAACAGCTTGACCTAGCCTGGAATTAATATGTCAAGTTTTATACTCGATGTTGCCATAGCATCTGTTGTTTACTTGTGTATTTTGAAATAACTATTTTTTAAAAAAACGGTGTTTGTCTTTTTTTTTTTACACATTTCAACTTTGTGGTAACAAAAAGCACTATACTTTCTTTTATAGATGAATCTGCGTTCTATATTCACAGAGGAACAGCAACGAGTGTTACAGCGTTATTATGACAGTGGAATGACAAATCAAAGTAAAAATTGCTTTGGATTAATAATACAGTGTGCACGTGAAACGGGGTTAGATTTTAATGTAGTCAGGGTAAGTAGTATAATATTTTTCCGCAAACGTATTGGAAATGTTGGGTTTATATTGGATCCCAGTGGTATTAAATAAGGGGGCAGTATCCATTATCACACTGCACTCTGCAAGACATTTAACTTAGACAAGACACCTGTTCCAGACCAAGCCTCCTGAACGCAAGACATCAAATCTTGTGTTATAACTGCTAAAATGGCCAAATTGCAACAGATCTTTGAATGCTTTATGATTAAAACTGTATATATAATTTGTGTTCAGAACTGCTAAAAGTCTTCTATCAAAATGTTCACACATGGTACCATTTGTTAGCAGTTGGCAGGGAAAGGAGGAGGGTCTTTTAAAATGTGACATCAAATTAACCCTCGGGTGTTTGTATGTAAAACATATTCCGAAAAATATATTGTGTGCTGTCATTTGTTTTCTAGAGTTTTGCTTTCTGTTGTATATGCAAGGCTTGGGGACCTGAATTTACCATTTTATATTTAGCCATCCTTGCTGTTCTGTATTTTTAATAAGCAGTTAGGTAGGATCTGGAAGCTTTTGATTCCTTTGGAAGTGTTTAGCCCAAAGTCTTTATTTTTTTCTGCAGAGCTAGAATTGAAATTAAATTATTTCAATCTAAGAATATTTAGGGAGCCAACCTTTAGCTATTTTCAATGTGTTGCCAAGAGGGTTTCTCTGGTTAAATAGTTTTTGGGAATGGTTCCATTGTGTTACCACCATTGGCAAATGTTGGGAAATAGTTAACTTATCAAAATTGTGCTATGGTGCATTAGATTTTGAATGTAAACTAATGGGGTCGAAAGCCATATTTCTTCTGTTCAATGATATTTACAAATGCACTTGTGCAAAATACGTAAAGATTATTTGTCTGTTCACTGCTGCTCCTGAACAATGAATCTGACATGTAGTGAACTGAGTGAGCTTAACAAAAGCTACAGTTTTAAGGTATTAAAGCAACGACAGAACTAAATTGCACAAGGCAGTGGGTATCGAGCCGATGCTTAGCCCAATACTTCTATTGTGAGCAAACATCAGTTTAACTTTTCTCACGATAATGCACAATGATGAAGCAAAAAAAAAGGGCCAGCTATTACAGAATGGGGAAGATTCTGCCTAGGATAATCAAATAACTAAAATTGCAGTTGTCACGTGAATAAAATAGATCAGTTGATCAATAAAGATAATGTGACTTAATGTTTATTCTTTAAAGAACAAACAAGTGTATAAGTGGTGTAACATACATAAAAGAATCCTCAGGAAATGTTTTGCAAATTTTGGCCTAATAGAACAACTTGTCTATGCTGATTCTTCAGAAGATCAAACTGGAACCTCACTCACTTCTTTTTTCCATTCTCGTAGCTTATATTCATGATTTCTTCATTCAAACATGTTCACTTTTGAAAGTGACTGATTAAGCTAAAAGTAACACTGGTGTCTCACAAGGGAGTTAAAATTGACCAGAAACTGAATTAGAATAAGCATCTAAATACTGTGACAACAAGAGCAGGTCAGAGACCAGGACTTCTGCAACAAATAACTCACTTCCTGTCTGTCCAAAGCCTGACTTCCAAGTCAGGAGTGTGATGGAATGTTTTCTACTTGCCTGAATGGATGCAGTTCGAGCAACTCTTGAGGAATTTGATACCATCCAGGAACAAAGTAACCTGCTTGATTGGCACCCTGTCTAACGCCTTAAACATTCACTCCTTCACAACTGGTGCATGCTGACAGTAATGTGTACTATCTACAAGGTGCACTCCAACCTTGTTTCATCTACCACTTTGACAGACAAGGCAGCAGGTGATTGGGAGGACTCATCAGCTGTAGGTTTCCCTCCAAGCCACACAGCATCCTGACTTGGAACAGTATTATCTTTCCTTCAGCATCATGGGTGCAAGTCCTGAAATCCTTAAACACCATTGTGCGTGCACTGGTACTCACCGCATTTAGTGGTTCAAGGAGATATAGTTCAAAGATGTAGCTCACCATTGCTTTCTCAAGGGTAGTCAGGGATGAACAAGGTGTGGAGATATTTCTAGGATTGTCTAGAAGTGAGATCTCTGTTTTAAAACTCTTTATCTATTTAAAACAGATTAAGCAAAATTGTTTCTTTCACAGGGTTGAGTCTGAAACTCTTGCTGGTGGAGGAAGCAGTGACCTCGAATATTGTTAAGGAAGTGGTCGATAGATTCGTGTCAGTTACATGTTTGAAAGGTTATTGGGGTAGATGACAACATGGATTTGAGGTTACCGTCAGATCAGCTTTGATCATATTGACTGGCAGGGCACGCTCGAGTTCTACTTCACCTGTTTTGTATATCTGTGATAAAATACTGGCTTTGCCAGCAACACTGGTATCTCGTGAAATAATAAAAACAAATTGAGTTGCTTCCAGCATGTTTTCATGCAATGCATTCCATATTGTAACAACACTTTTCAACAAAAAACTTCTCCAATTTCTATTTCCAATTATCTTAAATCTGTGCACACTAGGTTATGGGCTCACCCATCGGTATTAGCAAAGTATATTTATTTACTCTGATTAATATCTTTCCACTAAAAGCGGTAATTGAATATATTGAAATTGTGCATTTGAAATGAAGAAAGTGGGTGTTTGAAGTCAAAAGTAATATCAGCAAATTCTAGAAACTGACAAACAGTTATGGCTTATCTTTGCATGAATTTATGCATATTTCCAGTATTTCCTTTTAAGTTTACATGTCTGCAATTTGATTGCAAAAGGAAAATTTGTGTTTTATTCATACTATGATAGTTCATAGAAGATCACAGGAGTTATGAGAGGGTTTCAAGTATAATGAAGGAATTATTTTGTATAAAATGAAAGGTATATTGCTCAATTTCAAATGTGTTTCTGTGACATATAAAACAATATCTGTGCCACTGCTCTCCCTTGCCTTACTTACCTTGGATAACACCTGAACTTGCTGAAACTATTACTTGGTCAATTAGAACATTTGGAGAGAGAAACAGCAACATTCCAGGTCATTCACTATGCTGCATTGACCTGTTAAGGATTTCCAGTGATTTCTGTTTATGGCTCAGCATCTTCGCAAAATCCTGCTTTTGCACTTATCATATAATTCTGGGTGACATTGTCCTGTTGATTTTAAGTGACAATACTTAATGAGAAAGTAGTACTCCATTATCCATGTTCTTTATTAACGATTGTCTTTTGAAGAGAATTTTCATCCTGCTGTTTCAACACTGGCTGTTTATGGATTTCCTAAGAATGTATAACAAATGCATGCAGTTAGTATGATGCTGATTGACTCATTGTCAATACTTTCCACAGCACAGCGGTGGCTTAATGGTTAGCACTGATGCCTGACCGCGCCAGGGACCCAAGTTTGATTCCCACCCTCGGGCAACTGCCTGTGTGGAGTTTGCACATTCTCCCTATGCCTGCATGGGTTTCTGCTGGGTGCTCCCGTTTCCTCCAACAGTCCAAAGATGTGCAGGTTAGGTGGATTGGCCATGCTAAAATTGCCCATAGTGTTCAGAGATGTGCAAGCGAGGTGAATTAGCTGTGAGAGATGTAGGGTTACACAGATAGGCTAGGGAGGTGGGTCTGGGTGGGATGCTTTTCGAAGGGTCGGCATGGACTCGATGGGCTGATTAGCCTACTTCCACACTGTAGGGATTCTATGATTCTGTATATAGCTTCAGTATGACATTTTCACAGCCACTTAAGAGTTTATCAATGGGGTCATTAGGACTGGACTCTAATTTTTTCATTTATTTCGATGTGCTTTATCATCTGTAACCTGCTCTGCAGTTTGCTTGCAACCACGTATTTTAATTTCTTTAATGGAAAGTAATGAATTTGTGCTATGCCTATTTAAGGGTAGAGAGTGGGTGGTGAAACAGAGAGAGAAATCTTTTTGAATTGGTGAGTTTATTTGGGCTTTCTTATTAGACTTTCTTCCATGCTCACGTGCTAAGTAACATGGCCCGTTCAGTAGTAGTTATGTTGAGTATATTTTTGGGTAAAACATGGACCCATGCCCCAGACAAGTTTCAGATTTGTTTTCTAATTTGTGTTTTAAATCCTGATCATCACATCACTCCTTGTCTGTACCGGTTTTAGTGTGTGATTACTCTTTTGAGGCAAAGAAACCCAACAGGAACACGCACTAAGCCTAATGTACGACTACCAGTGAGATTAGCCAAGTTATTATAAAAATCCTTTTTCTTCACCCTTTATATTATGAAAGCCCATCCATTAGATTAGTGGTTTATGTGCAAGTCTGACTATAAATGGCTGGAATTGCAACCTTTGCAGGTTTTGGGCTCGGTCATTGGACACTGCATGTATAAATCTGAAGGTGGTCATAATTGTGAAGTTTAACTTGCATTGAAATTCTAAGACATAGCTTTTTTTTAAAATATGCAGTAATAAAGGTTTTTTTTTATCCACTGAAACTGCCATGTCAAATTATGGGGAATGGCTGACTTTTTTTCCTTGTTTATCTATTTAAGAAGACTGTACTGAGCTTTAAGTTTTTGACTTGAACATGTTCTGAATTGACTGTGCTTTTCTAAAACAAAATCTGCCATTTGCACAGTTAATGTTGTCTGTTTTGCAGACTTGGATTGGCAATAAAAGAAGGAAACTGAATTCTACAAAATACAGTTTGGAAGATCCACCCTCTACGCAAGGACCAGCAAGTAACAGTACGATGGGAAAATCTGAGACACCAGTGAAAAATACTAGCCTTGTCTCTCCATCCCAGAGCCAACAAACAGTTTTAACATCACCATGTAGGAATGTAATGGTAACTGGTGTATTTACCTCTACGCATTCTGCTAGTGGACAAGTGTTGTCTCACCAAAAGGATGGCCACAGATGTGACATTCCTAAGGGTCTTGTGCATAGACCAATAGGGAGAACTATAACTGAAATGGAATTGCAACAGCATGCCACAAGTCAAAGGCAGTCAGTTTCCAAGAACTCTGCAATTTCAATTTGTGAGAAAATTACTCCTGGATCTAGATCATTAAATGTTCACAGCCCCACCAGCACTGTGTATTCTTGCAGTACAAAAAACTACAGTCCTGCTTATGTTCAAACTGAAATAAATAGAGTACAATCAACAGCAACTAAATCAGTTGGTGGGTGGCCGAAACAACAGTTTAATTCAACCATTGCAGAGCTATCTCAGTGCCCACGGAAACTCACTTGTGAACCCTCTTTCTCAAGAAGTACATCCAGCTGTTCGTCTGATTCCAAGGTTAACCGAAACACAGGAGACTCTGCTGTAAGCTCTCTCCAGATCCGTGATGTATACTCACTGGCAGGCAGTGAACAGTGCTCAAAGAACAGGGGGGACCATGCATTTAGGAACTTGCGTCAGATGGAAAGTGGATGCTTTTCCATTGCCATGGAAACTGGAGATGTTGATGAGTATGCAAGGGAGGAGGAGCTTGCATCAATGAGTTCAGAGCTGAAGAATCATCCAAGAGTTTCTGAAGCGAATACCTCGAAAGAAATGGAGTGCTCAAATACATCTCTCGCAATACAAGCAAGGAACATTGGCACTGGTTCGTCACAGGTCAGTGCGCGTGATATATCTGGAAGCGCGTTTTATCGTAGTGGAGAGTTCCGAGCACCTGGGACAACAATGACCTTGTACAGTAATGCTGCCTCATCAGAGGATTCATTTAACCTCCGCCTTCCATCATCTAGCAACCAAAGGCTAACTCCCACCCAGAGCAACTATCAGGTACCAATATTTTAGTTTTTCATTGGAAATAGTGTTACAATTGTGCTAATGTGAGAAAGCAATATGTAATCATTTAAAATGTAGTTACACGTCATATTGGTCACTTGCTGAATACTTTCCTTTTGATTTTCAAACCTTTGTAATTTTCCGTCATTGTAACTATACCCTTTTGTTTCTGAATTTTTATACGATTGTCTTTTATGAATGAATTCAACTTAGTCAGTTTTTGTTTTCTGCATAATGGGAACAAAATTATTTTGTTTTGAAGGCAAGTATACTCAATGGTTAAAAATCAGTTATTTATATTGCCCGTAAAAGTTTAATAAAAACTCAAATGTATTGTAGTAAAGTAAGTACATTGAAAACGGCAACAGCAAATCTTTGTTCATCAAAGGTTAGACTGTTTGTTTGGTTTCCATTTGCAAGGTTGAGTTCAAAACCTAAGGCTACTGCTCAGATTGAACGTGCTAGATTTTATTTTGACTTTTGCACATCTTAGCTCGACCGCTGGTTGTATCCCATTGAGATAAAGGTAACACTTCCTGTCTTAGGAAACATTCTTGCAATACAAATGCATCATGGGAGATTCCACTGATTGTGTAGTTAATAACATACTCCTTTTAATTTCTGTTTGGGTTTATCCTACAAATTTTGCCATGCTTTAACTTGCAGTTGTTGAAATTATTTGTGGGACACTTCCTGTTACACTTGTTCTGTGGATGTTGGCAGACCAATCTTTCTATCTCTTTCGTGTCCAATAGGTACTGCAGACTAGATAAGCTACTACTGATCGTTTCAGACCACTGACAGTTGCTCAGCAGGTACCACTATGACTTGCTTCTCCGAATTTGTCCACCAAGTCAAACTACCTCCAGCCACAAAAAATAAAGTTCACCTCCTTGCTTCATAGTACTGTGACCATTTAATATTCTTCCCCATGGAAACAGGACAGTAAACTGCTGTGGACACATTTTGTAATAGCATTGTAAATGAATTGAAGGAGACATTTAGGAAGAAAGTCCACTCCTCGTTATAATTTGAGTAATCTTTCTTTCAAGTATTCCAAACATAAAAAGTACTGCAGAAGAGAAACTCATTGAAAACATGTTGTGTTAATGCTTTACAAACATACTTGTGCACCATCTGTTCATCCATATGATAATGTGAACTAGTTAATTGTAAAACAAAATTGCAGCACTAATAGTTAGTTCATCTTTTCTTAGCTGAGAGTTATCTGAAAGTTCTACTTAGAATCTCTCTTCACCCGAGAGAAAACTGTCTTTTGCTTCCTTGTACCTTGAAATAGAATGTGCATTTTACCATTTTTCAAATTAAATAAAATGTTTTCAATCCGTTTCTCTTCTACAATACTTTAATGCATGGTAAACTTGGAAGAAAGATTACTCAAATTGTTAGCTGGAGTGGAAGCTCTTTTTTTAAATGTCTCCTTGAATTTATTTACAATGCTATTACAAATTACGTCCACAGCAGTTCTCTGCCCTATTTCCATGGAGAAGAATGTTAAATGTTCACAGTTCTGTGAAGCAAGGAGCTGAATCTTTAATTTTTGTGGTTGGAGGTAGTTTGACTTAATGAAAAATTCTGAGGAGCAAATCATAGTGATACCTGCTGAGCAACTGTCTGTGGTCTGAAATGGTCAGTAGTAACTTCTCATGTCCAATAGGTAATGCGGAATGGCCAGGATGGCACTAGATTCTATTGTGATGAATTATCAAGATGCTAGGATTTCAAAACTTTGGAATGCAGACGTAGTCTGTTACTATTAACAGTTTTCTATATGGTCAGAATGCATTCAAATATTCAAGAAGGATTTTTTTTCTTGATTTGGGAGATGTTGCTCAAAGGAGTAATGGAGGTAAAAGTTTTCATCCAAGTGAGTTGAATGGGACTGCACAACAATTTATGTTGCAGATTGATGTATTGCACTTGAAGTTCAGGAAAAGTAAATGAGATTGAATTGTATCCATGTCATTGGACTGAAGAACTGTCGTACATTTTGAGGAGAAAAATGGTGAATGGAAGTATAGCTCATTCTTAACTTGAATTCAGCAGCTTTGCATCAACTGATTTTAGTCTAAATTCTCAATTGCTAAATTCAAATGATGGGATACAGCAAAATTTCATGGTGGAGAGGAAAAGAAACTTCGTGGACTGACAATATGAGAAACTGAGTGATGAATAGCTTCATATTGAAATGTATATTTTCCAAAACTTGAGTACATTCAGAAAATTAAGGTCACTTTGCAGACTGCATCTCCTGCATTGCTGAATTAACACAAATATTTTCATTTAAACTTGTCTTGCTAAGCTCAGATTTCCGAAGGAAAAATGTATAAAAATGTTGGTAAATTTGCACTAGAGACTACATTGTTTCTATTTGAATTTAGAATAGAAATGAGGAAATATTCTGTTTCAGTTCTGCAATGCCCAACTGTAAATGTAGCCTCACATTTTGAAGTTATGATAGTTTCTAACAATGCCAATAAGCTGCAGTGTGGAGCGTTGAATATGGAACACAGAGATTGTCAGCATGTTGGAATCCTACATTGTCGTTATAGACCAGACTAAACCACCTCAAAACATATAAAGATGATAGCCTGAACCCTAACTTTTTCTTATTTTAAAGCCAAATGCCAGATGTTGCATTCTGGATGCAATTTGATTGGTAAAACTACCAGTCTTAAAGCAAAACACACTTTATTTATACACTATAGTTAAAATACAACAAAAGAATGAAGAAGTTGGAATAACTTCACTCTATTAGAAAACTTAACAACAGAATAATAGATTATTTAACTACTAAACAGTGACTATTTCAATTTACTAACATCCATAAACACACCCTTGGCAAAGGTCAATTCAGTAAAATGGTCTCATATGCAATTCTAGCAGCAGGAAGAGAACCCCAGTTTTTAGCTATAACAGAGAGAGGAAAAACAGTTTCCACATCCAACTTCAAGATTCTAGCAACGGCACTGAAAAACTAAAACTAAAAAAAACCTGGGTTCCATGGGAGCTTGACCCCACCCATTAAGGCTGCTTCTGTTGTTCCAACTTAAAGAAAACCCAAGACCTCACAAGCTATTTACTTTATTCAAATCATTATAGCCAGCACTTCACCTCTGTCTTAAAACCTCTGCTCAAAAAAAAGGACAAAATACACCTCTTAAAGCCATAGTATCATCACTGTGCTTTGAACTCTGAATAATTTCTCCAAAGTTACTTTTGCAGAAGAGGAAGAGGTTTTATAAGTTTGAGTGATTTGGCACTGCTAAAGTCTGATCTAAATTGGTACTATTTTGTTAACATTATGCCATTGCGATGTGTGGATGATGCCACAAGAGCACAAAATGCTTTAATTCATTTTGTATAGAATCTTAGGGCATAAAAGGAGGCCACTTGGCCTTTGTGCCTGTGCTGGCTCTTATAAAGAGCTATTGAGTTAGTGCCATATCCCAGTTCTATTCTTCTCTAACCATACTGCTCTGGAAACATTTCCTCTGCCATGTGCAAACAGTAGAAATATGTTTTGACTTGGTTCGCAGTAGGAATGGCCAATTTATTAACTATCTTGGGCCTCATTCTCTGAGCTTTTTTTTTGACTTTTCCAAAGTTGGTAAAGACTGTGTAAACATGCTGCAGTTTGTGATCTGCTATTCAGGTCTGAAACAGCCAGATGCTGGGATCCAAGGTCAGTTCTTGATTTCCATACGATTTATTATAAATGCTATTTGCACACTTCTCCTTGAAAGCAAATAAAAAAAAAGGTATGTCTCTGAAATGTGGCAATCAACAGTGGCATTTGTTATTAATTATTGAATAATTCTTTAAGCAAGATTTATCTCTTCCAGTTGACCAAAGGAAGTCCAAGATCAGTTGCCATAAATATGTAGGGATTTGCTTAGAGTCAGAGAGTCGAACGGCAGTCTTGCCTTGTCCCTGTCCAAATGCATTCCAAGATAAAATTGCGAGAGAAAGTTGGAAGTGAAGGAAAGAAATATTAGTGGAGTTGCCTGCTGTTTTTGTGTGATCTTCTATTTTGGATACTTTGATCAACAGCTTTAACAGAAATGTTAAAAGATGTCAACTTTGTGTCTGTTGTCAATTAAAGTTTGCAATTCTGCATTTATTGTGAGGTAAACACATTTCAGACAGTCCTGGATCCATCGTGATAATTTTTAAAAAAATTCTGAAGTCTTAAAATATTCTCAGTACTGTCACCTGGTATGAATGTGTAACATGCGATGATGGCTTGAATCACCTTAAGGATATTGGTTGATTATGGAAAGGCTTTAATGGTATGTTTTACAGTTCATAATTTGAGCACAAATGTTATTTTTATACTTCAGGTGTCTGGCTCCGTTCTGTTGCCTTGTATAACTGGAACCTCAAGGAAAAGAACAGTAAGTATTATGTGTGTGCTTTGTCATTAGTTTTAAGTTTCTACTCCTTCATTATTGCAAATTATAGGCCCTTTACCCTCAAACTCTTTTCAGTGTTTAAAATGAATATTGGCATCAGTCAAAATGACATGTTAGTTTCTAACTGTCTTCTTAAATAAAAGTTTAGAAAAATATTTGAGAATATCAAGACTCATGCAAAGCCCACTTGGCCCATTGTCATTTGTTTCCTCATAATCTAACTCTCCCATCACCATATTTAACAACTTCAATAAATTTAAAAGGAATTATCAAAATTGGTTGCTTGCATGACACATTATGTCATACATCTATTGCTGTGTTGGTAAAGACAATCTTACTGGTGTATTTCAAGCATACTGTTTCCTCTGGCTTGCTTAGAAGTAATAAGGTGGATTTATTAATTTTGTTACATTTAATATTGAAGTACTTGAATGAATTACTGCCCCCAGCCCCCTTTTCAAAAAAAGTCCAGAATTTAGGTATTTCTAACTTTTACACCTGGGATCACCTTTCTTGTTCACTTGGTGCTTTTTTCTGAAATATCTTTTCTTTAGAATAGAGTGACCAAGATTTATCATGTTACTTGGAAGTCAGCTCTGACTTGTGCAAAGAGCTTAAGCCTTAATGTTGCACAAAATCAGATCTTTAATGGTAATAAGGTTGAAATACCTGCCACATTTTGGAGCCACGCTGATTTTGTTTCAATTTATAATGCAGATATTTTGTTAAAGAAAGGTGTCAAAGGTGCTTTCTTTCAGTTCAGATGTTAAATCAAGACTCTGTTGCTTTCTCAAGTGGACATAAAATGATTTCTGTCTAACAAGTGTAATTAATAGAAATCTTACTGGTGATTCCCTTGCAGTAACCATCTTTAGTAAGGAAGGTCTACTACTACTCCTACTTTGTCTGGTTGTATAACATCACACCCAACATGGAAGCTATTCCTGTTATCCTGTCAACATTTATTGGTGGATCTAAATCAATACAAGACATTAGGTGGTTATTTGCACGTTGCTGTTTGTGGGACATGGCTGTGCACAAATTGGCTGCCACATTTTGGACAGTATTTAAGTGCCTGTAAAATGCTTTGGGACATCTGGAGTTTGTGGAAAATGCTTTATTAATGCAAGTCTTTCCATCTTCCTTTTATTTCTTTCTTGTATGCTTAAAAGGACAGACAAACATTAATGACGTCAAAGACTTTTAGTCAGTTAACAATTCTGTTTACGTAAGAATTCTATGTGGTGTCACTTTGTTCTTGCTTAAGCATTGGTTCAAACGTGGCATGACATTGAATTAACTGCCGTTATTATATTATATGGTGGTAATTTGTAATATCTGCCAAAAACCTATCTAATCACAAACTGAGTGTTTTGCTCTATCTCTGACTTCCTTTCTAAAGATTGTGACTGCAACAGAACTACTGGCAAAACTTAGAATACCTTTTCTTCAACAGAAAGCATTTTGTTTTAGCATTGTGACAAGTTGAGCAGATTTGACTTTGTTGTTCTTTAATTTTGATTTCTTCATTCTTTATCAACTGCATTTGATCAAGAACAGGACCGACCTGTGGTGAGAGCCACATGTGTAGCAGGGACTCTCATGTAGCATGAGCCATACTGTCAATATGAAGTGGAAGTGTGATTGATGTTTTTGGCATTGATGATTGCAGCACTGGTGATTTTTCACAAAATGAGAAATAGATCTGTTGCTCTTAATTTCATATTGTATAAGTGGACGTTTGTGGATAGAAATTGGCCATTAATGTCTCAATTCTGTGCTTGTGACTGAGCAAGTAATTGCTGCCAAGATAGATGAATAAACTTTTTTTAAGGTTGCTTTGGAGCCAGAAGAAGCAGGAGAGTACTGCTTAGCTCCATAGCATTCCACAACAGTGCTGAAGATCTCAATTGGCCATCTCTCATCTCTTTCCCCCTCTGAGTCTTAACCTGAAGACTGCTCCTTGCAAGATGTGACCTGAAATTTATCTGCAACAAGTTATTTCTGTGAAACCACTATGGTGCGCTATAACCCTGACAGTTAATCCAAATTACTGAAATGAGTCCCAATTTCAAGCCTGTCTCAGAACTTTCAGAAGGGCACAGCACTGATAGAAAGATTTACAAAGATGTTACTGAGACTGGAGGGTTGGACTTAGAAAGAGAGGCTGGATAGGCTGGGACTTTTTCCCATGGAGCGTAGGAGGCTGAGGGCTGACCTCATAGAGGTTTATAAATTCATGAGGGACATAGATAAAGATGAATAGCCAAGGTCTTTTGCCCAGGGTTAGGGGAGTCCAGAACCAGAGGGCATAGGTTTCAGGCGAGAGGGAAAAGATGTAAAAGGGACCTGAGGGACAAGTTTTTCATGCAGAGGGTGATGCGTATATGTAACGAGCTGCCAGAGGATGTGGTAGAGGAAGTATAGTTACAACATTTAAAAGACATTTGGACAGCTAAGTGGATAGGAAAGGTTTAGAGTGATATGGAATAAACACAGGCAAATGGGACTAGTTTAGTTTAGGAAACCTGGTGGGCATAGATGAGTTGTGTTGAAAGGTCTGTTTCTGTGCTTTATGATTCCATGATATGGACCCAAAAAAACTGGGGCAAGATAATTCTCTAGCCTACTATTATGTTAGTGATGCCTTCACCGAAATATGATTCAATTAGCAGATGAACTGATGATTTCTTGGGGGTACAAAAAAATTCTGCAGTTTGATATTTTCTTGAAAAATTCAAGTGTGTACAGAGGAAATATCAAATCTATGAACTTGCAAAGCTATTGTTTATCTCCATCTAAGGATTTTTTTTTGTAATGGAGAATTGCAGTGCAGTGATGTGCAGTTTTAGAATTTAAGATAACACCAGCCTGCACATGAGTAAAACACTTTCTCTCATTCATAGACTTGGTGATTGCTCAAATAATGTTGGTCATTTCCTTTTTCTTCACATACACTTGATTTGACAATTGCATGTTATACTTACATTGTGAAACTACCAAAGTAGTAAGGCCTTTCTGAGGTTAAATAAATTGATCAATTTTAAATAAAGCAAATATAACAATGTAAAATACAAAATGATGAGGCAAAAATGATTTTCATGTTTTAAACCAATTAGTTTTATTATATACCATTAATATTAACAGTTTTTTAAAAACTAAAGTTGGGATTTGAATGTATTTGTTCAAAATAAATCATTAATTTAACTTGATGCTTTTTGGCCATGGTCTGGATTACTTCATGCTAAGCATACACATCTATAAAGTGAAAATGTTTGGACTCTCAAGAGTTTAAAGTCTGATTTGTAATGTTTCTTTAGCCAGTCAGATTCTTGTCTGGATACTGTGACTTCCCTGAGTGAGTTGACAGAAATTAAACAGATTGCTGTGCTGTTTCCACACACTGACTTGGTTCATTCGGAAAAGTAATCATGCAAAATTTTACTTTCTGGAATTTGAATATGATTAACATTCCATGGGTAGTATCTAACAGTTATACCTCCTTAATAAATTGCATATGCGTGACTTTTTAAAATTTATATCCCCATCACAGTGCTGAGTTAAGTGGTGGAATTACTAGAATTTTGCAAGGGCTCTGATCTGAGGGTCCAAAATTTATGAATGATACTGGTCAGTGATGATAAAACAATACAGTATTATAATAGAAGGATTTCTTAAAGTTTCTTTGCTCTGCAAACTTACTGCATATAATAGTTTAATTTATGAAGTGTATACTGATACTCTTCACTATTCTGTTTTGGTTTTGAGGTAAAAGCTTGATGTTTGGAAACATCTTGACAAATTTCAGACATCCTACTGGCCAACAACAAACACATCATTGAGAATCAAAGGGCTAGAATTTTCCAGAAATGATTGGTTAGCCAGGGTGGTGGGACTGAACGAGTTACTACAACACCCTAGTGTCAGTGAGTGTGAAGTAGTGTGATAGATGTTTTACAAAAGCTTATCCTTTATTCCTTAAATTTGTTGCAATTTTTTTGTATAGCGAAGAAATAGTTCCAGATTTATGGAAATGATTTGTTGGTTCTTCTAAAGTAGATTGCACAAGTTAAAATGTTTAGCACAGTTTTATGTCAATATTCATTAGGATAAAATGCACTTTCTTTCACTTAATTTTCTAAAAAGTCTATTGTTGGCTGTTCTGAGTTAGTTTAATGAAAACTGTTCAATGCACTTTATATTAAAACGTGTCTGAAATATCAGGAGTATTGACTAACATAGAGCTAAAATAGGAAAATGGCATTTAGGTACAGGTTAGACATGGTTTAAGTGAATGTTGGAGTAGGCTTGAGTAATAGAACAGCTTGCTGCTGTATTTGTCATGCTGTGATGGTATTTGCTGGGAAATTATTATTGCAAGCAGAATAATTAAATCGAAAAAATGGTAGGGACCAAAAACACCTGAAGTTTGCTTATTTTTCTTTATTCATGCATTTGAACAGTGTTATTGTTTCCTTTGTGATATATTTAACATTATTTTGGTGTGGCAATTATTTCCCTATAAAATTGAGAGTTTGTTTCAGAGAATAAAGGTATAGGCCTTCCCTTTGTATTCCAGCTCCTTCAGACGAAGGGCAGCATCTCAAAATGCTTTTGTTTACTTGTTGAACTTCTGCACTAGCCTTTCATGTGGCCGTAATTTGTAGTCTCCTCTTTCCGTTTCTATTTGCTGTAATTTGAAAGTTTGGACTCCACTGTTTCAGCAAATGACTACTATTTTTATTTTTCTCTGCATCTGTCCGCTGAAAACCTTTTCATATTCTTTTTCAATGCAAGCCTAGTTTTGAAAACTCCAAATGTTGAGGATTATTACAATTAATTTCAGGAAGTGTTTTCAGCAAAGTAAATATTTAGCCCCCTTTTTTCCCCAGAATCTATGCTTCGTATACCCCAAATAATGATATCGTGTACTTGCCGTGTACTGTTTGAAAGGGTGGTGGAAGCAGATTCAATTTAACTTT